CACACACACACACACACACACACACACACACACACACACACACACACACAATGTTTGTTTCAAAGGCAGATGAAACAATGGTCTACCACAATTTAGATAGATTTTTTGATTTAATAAGTCAAAAAAAGACAGCATGCTGGGAAATGTATACCTGTATTTGCTGACTTTGATCTCTTTGAGGTAAATGTCTGTGATCCTGCTGACATCATTTCTGCCTCACTTTGTTTTCTGGCTTGTGTTTAAGAGCAGCGGTCCCCAACCCTTTTTTTGCGCCACAGACTGGTTTAATATTCAGACAATATTTTCATGGACCGGCCTTTAAGGTGTGGCAGATAAATACAACAAAATAAAATGATACGACCAAAACAAAAACTGTGGTATTTTGTAAATATAATAATAAATGTGAATTCACTGTGTAAATGTTTTACTTTATTAGCAGCGTGCTCCTGAAAAAACATTGAGAGTAACATCCTCCTCTCTGCCCCTTAATGCTCTCTGGTTGCTATGGTAACGCGTAAATATTTCTTTCAAGTAAAGACACACAACTACAAAAGAAATATAAAATTCACTAAATTGTTTAGAAAATGTATTCATAACACACGGGAAAAGAGTTAACGATAAAACCCCGAAAACCATACATTTCACACCCGAGCCTCAACTCTTGAGGCCCGGTACCAAACGACTCACAGACCAGTACCAGTCCGTGGCCTGGGAGTTGGGGGCCGCTGCTTTATAGACCAGTTTGTCAATGTGTTGCCAACAATGTCTGCCCCTGTCCAGGCCTGTAACACCTGTCAGGGCAGCATGAAGCACCTTGAGGCCCCTATCGATTGATTATCGCTTGGTGCTGTATTACTGAAGCTGAACTGATTGAATTTAATGTCCAGAAAAAACCAGCAGAGGGCAGCAGAGCCTCAAACTACATGTTGGAGAAGACTTTCTTGTCTTTAAGTGATGACGAGATGAATCCTGCTTCCGGGCCCAAACTACTCTACGCTTAATAAGGCTTTTGTGTTTTTAACATGTTTTAATGTTTTGTATCTTGTTCTATTTAATCTCAACAAGCCCCTAAAAACAGTCAGTGATCACTTTCAGCTTTTCTCAGTTTTTATTACCACTGTTCATTTTAAAGCTCAGTTTTTAAAACCTTCCGATGTAACTACAGCCCATGCAGCAGTATATTAATGACTAACCTCGTATTGTGGATGGATTATCTCGGTTGTTCTCCTGACTGAAGTTTGGTCCGTTTACAGCATCCTGCCATGCTATTGCATTTGTCCCTAACTATTCTGAACCCTCACGTTAACTTTTATCGAGTGGAAAAAAGTTAGCGTTCATCCTCCAGCTTCACTGTGCTAATGTTATGCTAACATAGCTGTGTCGCTAGCGATCACGTAGCACATCATTATATACCAGCTAGCCCAACTTCAGTAACCCTACAAACGTCACTGCCGTTTAGTTTTCTGTCTTCATTTATGTTGGAAGTGACAGCAGAGCTGTACGTTTGAATTGTTTCATAAATCTCTCAGTCAGAACATATCATGTTTAGATGGAAGCTAGCGAGCTAACTTCCTGCTAACTTCTAACTCTGTTAAATTTAATAATTTTTATTTTCATGGAAGCCTGGATGTTAAACTTAATTGTTACACCTGGTAAAGCAGCAACCCTGATCGTTTTATTAAAGATGAAAAATTTAGACAGCTTTTAACTCTCAGTGATGCTGCAGTGTTCATTTGACCTGCAGCGGAGTTTGGGCTCAGGCACGGCTGATGACATCAGACTTAATGACCGGATTGTTTCCATGAGTCTTGCTTTTGTCGCGGTTCTGTTTGTGTGTTGTTGAAGTAAAAGATCGTTTCCAGCTTAGAACATTATTTAAATTTACTCTTGATCATCAGGCTCTGTTTCAGAGCCCCTTCTCTTCAGTTCTGTCTTATAAAGGTTACATTTGTTGTGACACTGTAAGAATACTGAGTACAGTTATGTAGTTCATAGGGTTAGTTAGCTGCTAATTATTCGTTCCACGCCAACCGTGTTCAGACATCAGTGGGTTTCATGTTGCGCTTCTCCACAGTGAACACTCACAGCATGTTAAACCCTGCAGTCTGTATTCGCACATTTACCCTCATTCAGTTTTCATGCAGACGTGTAAATTCGATGGGTGCACCTGGGGCACTTTGACCACTTTCAACATGCAGATTGGATTCTAACCACCAACCTTCCAAACACCACAAAACCCCACTACCTCCTGAGTGCTGTTTTCCACAGGTCAGTGTGTCTGGTGGAGGAAACCTGAAGTTCAGATGTAGAGTGTCAGTGGGGAAATGAGTCACTTACAAAGAAGTCACATGATCATTTCTGTCCAGTAAGATTTCTTTTCTGTGCCGTGCGGGTCCTAATGTTTCTGCAGGTGTGCAGCTGATGACTCTGCCAGTCACTCAACAGCCATGTTGAACTGGAGATAAAGTATCTGAATTTCTGGAGCGGGACCACATCTCCAAAGACGCTCCTTCCAGTTGTTATCTATATACAGTGGGGCAAAAAAGTATTTAGTTAGCCACTGATTGTGCAAGTTCCCCCACTTAAAATGATGACAGAGGTCAGTAATTTGCACCAGAGGTACACTTCAACTGTGAAAGACAGAATGTGAAAAAAAAATCCATGAATCCACATGGTAGGATTTGTAGAGAATTTATTCATAAATCAGGGTGGAAAATAAGTATTTGGTC